GAAGTGGGAAATTGAGAAGAAGGCTGCTTCTTCTGTTCCCACCCCAGGTGCTATTATATACAGGCGGTCAAGGTCACATGGGGGGAGCCACATCATCTCTGCACCTCTCTGGGTGTCTCCATGAGAGATCCTGGAGGTGTGCCACTGTGTGGGTGGGGATGCACACGGTGGGTGCGGTGATTGGGGAGTGGCATTAGATGTGTAGTGATACATAGAGAAAAGGGAAGTCGACTGTGGAACAGAAATAGAGAGAAAGAAGAAAAGGGAAGGAGGAGGAATGGGAGTGGTAGCAGGGGAGTGGAGTAGGGCAGGGTGGTGTGGGATGTGGCACAGGGTCAGGCAGGGTATGCCCTGACATAAACCTCCTTGTGCCAACATTGTAATCATCTGTGTATGGCTGTATATGTCTCGGACACCACCTATATGGGTCATCCCTACCAAGGATGATGACTCTAGCCATGGGTCGTTGAGTTCATGCATGACTCAACTCAGGTATGTGCAGGCATCTTCTGTTAAGACTCACGTTGCTTGCCCAGGCACAGGGCTCTCATCTGTCTCACTCCACAGTGAGAAACTGGTCAACTCTATGGATGGACTCGTACATGATTCAGGCCTGTCACCCTTGTCGCCGGCATGCTGTAAGGTTGTTAAGGGTGTTGAGTTCGCAAGTGATCTCGCGATAGTCAGTTGTTGCCTCACACTCCCAGTCCATTAAAGTACCCTGTGTCAGGGGACACACGTGCTCGCACAGGATGCTCCGATAACCTAGTTGTGATTAAAGCCGGGGGAAAGGGATGTCCCCATCTTAGGGTCAGCTATATACATGTAGAGTCCGGCAATAAGGAAACCAAATGGATTGCCAATAGAATCACGTGATCATAGAATGTTCCAGAACAATGCCGGAGATGATCCGGGTCACCGGGGCTTAGGTAAGTGGAGTAGACAGGAATTACCAGCATACTTCCCACATGCATATGCGCAGCTGGCATAGGGTCCAGGGTCGTTGCTGATCCCTGACACCCTGTCAGAGACCGGATGCAAGATGAAGGAAATGTCTCTGTGGTGAAGGGCTTTGGCCTCAGCGACTTAGACCAGGAGCGCTGTGCCTAGTTACTGTCAGGGCACGCCCGCCTGACCCGGCCCCACCTAACCCGGTGCCCCACCATCCACTCCTCTTGACCTCCCCCCTCTTCCCCTTTTCTCCCTTCCCTTCCTTCCTCTCCTTCTTTTCTATTCTCTCTCCTCTTTATTCCTTTCTTATCACACGGACGACTTCCTTTGTATCAATGTACCATTGACCCGGCTGCAGCGTAACGCGCCCGAACCCGGACACACCGGACGACCCCCCGCACACCGGACGCTCCTAGGACCTCTTACGGAGGTACCCAGACGGAGGTGGCTGTGTGCTCGGATGACGTGGCGCTTCCCACGTGCCCTTCAACCACATGTATATAAACACAGCCTAAGTGGGAACTGAGAAGCAACCTTCTTCTCACATTTCCCACTTTAGGCAAGTAGCTTACACTTCCCTTGATAATGACAATAACACATTTCCCACTTTAGTCTTAGTGGCCAGGGACCCTTGTCTGCTTCGGGCCCGCTGCTACGCGCGCTCGCGTCATACCTACCGGACCCTCAGCCTTGGGCGATACACCCGGGCGCTCTCGACCCCGGGTCGGTCCCTGACAGTTACACGTCCATGCCCTAATTTACTTACTGGCAACAAGAACTTGAAAGAGGGAAACTCTAGTCGATTTTATCACTAGGGTGTAACCTATTGTTAGAACTGGGCGAGGGCGGACAATTCCAGAGGGGAACCGGAGACTTAGCAAGGAGGGACCTTGGCCTCAGTGACTCGTGTGGAGCGCTGTGCCATTGCTGTTTGTCCATTTGGTCCTTAATTTCAGAGGCAGTGAGCAGGAAGTCTCTAGGGGGCATTTCAGGTCGATTTTAGACTGAAGGTCCAAAATGAGTATGTACAAGCACCTGTATATAATAGGGAGATGAGAGCACAAGGGAAACAAAGGGGGTCTGAATCAGAACAAAGGCGTCCAAACAGGAACAAAGGGATGATGGAAGTGGAGCAGTACTGAAGGTCATAGGTCAGAACCTGTGGTACTGTACATCTGAAAGGAGATAGGGAGGGCAAAGCCCAGAGGGGCAGGAGGATGAGGTGAAGTGGGGATGATGACTAACTGGCTAGAATGGAGAGAAGCAGCAGTCCAAATAAGGATGAGGGGAAAGCATGAAAGATACAAGCAGTGAAAGTGCCAAGTATGATCCATGGAGCTCGGAGGTTGCGGAGCTTACAGGGGTTATGGAGGCAGGGTTGAAAGTCCAAGGAATATTGGCAATGGTGTTTATGTAGTATGAGGTCACCAATGCAATGGACTTAAGCCGAGGTGGAGTCAAAGTCCGAGGTCGGAACTATGACGGAATCTCGGAGCAAAGGTACGAGCAGTGTCTGAGTACAGGGTATGGGACAGTGGTGGAAGGTCATAACTTGCCAGAGGTTTGGCAGAAGAGGGTCAGAGGGAGGAGAGAGAAGAGAGGAGCAGGGAGAGGAGTGGAGGAGAGGAAAGGTGTCAGGTCCGAAGGTGAGTATTGGAGTGGACAGAAGTAGGGTAGGAGAGTGATGGAAGGGGGGAGGTGTTGTGAGGAGTAAGAGGAGGAGGGTGGCGAGAGGAGTGATGTTCGGTCCGAGGTGAGTATCGGAGTGGATAGAGATAGGGTAGGACTCTGGAGGTGACAAGGATGAGGGTCTGGGAGTCAGTTCAGGATCGGGTATGTATGGATATGACACCTATCTACAAGTTATGTATAAAGAGGGCAGGCCCATGAATGGTGGGGCCGAGCAGAGCAGAGCTAACGGAGTTACATGTTAGCTGACTGAATATTACTGATGAGTCGGGTTACAGGGTTAGCGGGGTGGCGGGCTATAACCCAGAAATGGAAAGGAGGGACCGGCCCGAAGGCAGGCCTGCAGGGCAAGCAAGTGAATTGCCCAACAGAGGTGGGAGTGTGCTAGCGGACGTCAGAGCTGTCCAGAGGCCTTTGGGACTCTGTACTTAGGGAGGTGTAGATATATTGGATTGAGGGGGTGGTGACCATCAAGGGAGGTGGAGGTGATTGCGGAATACGGAGGCTCCAAGGTTAGTGATGAAGGAGCGGAGGTAATCTGGAAGGACTGGAGGTAGCAGAGGATGATGGCCGTGAACGGATATGACATACCCTGTATGAAGCTGTATTTATTAATATTGCACAGGCAGGTTTAACAAGAAAATTGTCAAGAAATCAATATAAGGTGGGGAATGGCGATTAAGCCATTCCCCTCAAAATTTTACAAGAAATATTCAAGAAAAAAAATGTTTCAGGAAAAACGATAGCTGTTAGGCCATCCAGTAATTGCAAGGCTGTTAGGCCTTGACGAACCCATTGTTTGACAGGCTAAGAATTAAATCAAAAATGAAGGTAGAAGCTGCTAGGCTGTCATATCCGTGCATACCCGATCCCGACCCGACTCCCGGACCTCCTTCTTCACCACCTCCGGAGTCCTACCCTACCGCTGTCCGTTCCGATACCCACCTTTGGTCCTGGCACCACACCTCCTCTCACCTCCCATGCCACCTCCACTCCTCCATCCTTCTCCTCCCCTATCTCCGTCCACTCTGATACCCACCTCGGACCGAACACCACCCCTCTCGCCACCCTCCTACTACTCCTTCTCCTACTCCTCCGCTCCCTCCTCACAACACCTCCACCCTTCCATCATCCTCCTACTCCTCTCCCGTCCGCTCCGATACTCACCCTCGGACCTGACAACTCTCCTTTCTGCCACTCCTTCCCTCTTCCCTTTCTCCTCTCTCTTCCCTCTGGTCCTCTTCTGCCGACCTCCTGCCAAGTTACGACCTTCCGCCGCTGTCCCATACTTCGTACTCGGACACTGCTCATACCTTTGCTCCGAGCCTCCATCATAGTCCCTACCTTGGACTTTGACTCCACCTTGGCCTTAGTCCATTGCATTGGTGACCTCATACTACGTAAACACCATTGCCAATATTCCTTGGACTTTCAACCCCGCCTCTGTAACCTCTGTAACCTCCGAGCTCCACGGATCATCTTCGGCACTTTTGCCGCTTGTAATGTATCTCTCATGTTTTCCCTTCATCCCTATTTGGACTGCTGCTTCTTCCCATTCTAGCCAGTTAGTCATCATCCCCACTTCCCCTCATCCTCCTGCCCCTCTGGGCCTCGCCCTCCTTACCTCCTTTCGGATGCACCACAGGTTCAGCCCTATGACCTCGGTACTGCTCCGCTTCTGTCACCCCTTTGTTCCCATTCAGATCCCCTTTGTTTCCTTGTGCTTTCGTCCCCTCCATTATATATATCGGTGCTTGTACATACTCGTTTTAGGCCTTAGTCTAAAATCGACCTGAAATGCCCCCTAGAGACTTCCTGCTTGCCTACTGTGAAATTAAGGACCAAATGGACAAACAGCAATGGCACAGTGCTCCGCTTGAGTCGCTGAGGCCAAGGTCCCTCCTTGCTAAGTCTCCAGTTCCCCTCCGGAATTGTCTGCCCTCGCCCAGTTCTAACATAGGCCTCCACAGATCTGTTGTTTCGACAGGTCCAGACAGAATTATAAGGTGGAGGCTGCTAAGCCTCCATGGATCCATTGTTTCGATGGATCTAGAACATTAGTAAGGTAGAGGCTGCTAAGCCTCCATGGGCCTGTTGTTTTGACAGGCCAAGAAAAGAAGTTAAGGTGGAGGCTGTTAAGCCTCCACGGACCCATTGTTTCGACAGATTGGAGAAGAATAATAATGAAAAGGCCGTTGGGCCTTTACAGAACCATTGACTGATGGTCCTAGAAGAGATGATGATTGAGGCAAATAGGCCTCAGGGGTACGTTTGATGCACCAGAGCGGATGATAGAACAGGGGGGTGATTAACCCCTCTGTGTTAAATGAGGCACATATACCTTGACAAAGAGAAGGTGGTTAAACCTTCTTGGAGGAAGGGTCAGCAGCAGCCGATACAGCAGCACTAGAAAGGTCCGAAGGACCAGCAACAGCGGCCTCGGTTTCAGACCAAATCGCAGCAGGGAAACAACGTTCAGGAAGAGGAGCAGCCTCGTCAACTGACCCTGTAGTCGCCTCACCATCACTCTTCATATCCTCATCCTCATTGGGGATAGGTGGTGGGGTGGAAGGTTGCACAGTGGCGGGTAGATGGCCATAGTTACCATCCATTAATTGAGTTGGTTCAGGCACAAAGTGCCCTGATGGAGGGGGAGGCAGCATGGGGTAGTCGCCCACATGCAGTTTCGAGAATTTGAAGGTGGTCGTATTGGCCACCCTATGGGCCCTTGCCTCGTTGGAGGGATGATGCCTCCACAACGACAGCAGGATGTACTTCATCCCTGCCTCATTGAGAATTTTGGGAGTCCTTTGGACGTACCCATACCTCTTGTCAAAGTCATCTGTGGAAGGATTCCTTCCACCCTCGAATTTCAGCTTGAAGTAACGAGCATGAAGGTCACAAACATCACCCAGGGCATCATCAATAACCCCAGCTGCCCCAACCTGCTGGTTGATCCACTTGAGGTCAACCAAGAATTTGAACCTGTTCACTGTATTCAGGAATGGGAGTACGAAGTTGTCCCATCATCATTGACAATGGCCTATTTCGGTGGTGATGAGCCGTCTCTGGCCACTAACGGTAACTCCATGTATGAAGTCATTGGCATGGAAGGAACCTGGGATGGGTATGTTTCTCCACATCCCAGGAGCAGGAGAGCAATTCTGGCTAGGTAGCCAGAACCACAAATATTCAAGTGGTAGGAGGGGGTGACACGGTGCCCACCCTTTTCCCGACTTGGGATTGGATGTATTGGATTGGGCCCTATGACCCACCATTGGGTCAGCAATGGATACTTGAGGACGGGCCAGTTTGACTGGTCCAGGGTGTGGATGAGGGTTGTTGTCTACATGATGCACCCTATCAGGGGCATTCTGGGTACGCATTTCTGTGTGAGGGATTTTTCGAGGGCATGATGCCTCGTCTTCCTTGCAACCCTTTTCATAGGCCTCGAGGTCCCTTTCCAGTGAGTCGCACTTTCATTGGAGGAAATCCTGGTGTAACAAGACCTCCTGCAACTCGCTGGTGAGATGCTGGTTCTTGAGCTTGATGTTAAAGAGTTCCTCATGGAGCCCTACATTTTCTTCTTGGATACATCGAGTCCCTTCTCGAGACTGTGACAGTTTGTTGTCAAGACATTGAACATGGGTGTTTGCATCCATAAGGAGTTCAGTCAGGAAAGACCCTGACATTGTAGCATGCGGCTGGTGAGCCGCTTCAGGAGTGGGTGCTCCATGAGGGAGGGAAGGGTGGTAACCCCAGAGATTGGGGTTAAAGTATGGCAACAGTGGCACTTGTCCTGGTGCCATCAAGTCTGCAAAAAATTGCGGGCCCATTGTCTGATGGTCAGACGCAGTGTAAGCTGCAGTAGCTTGCACATCCATCACAGGGGAAGGATGCCCTGATACTGTTGGTATCAGGGTAGGATCAGGGATATTGGAGACACTGGGGGCCTCAGCACCTGGCGTTGAAGTATGTTGAACATTGCCTAAAGTGGGACCCGTGGTCCATGGGGGTGGTGTTTGATCATGGGCTTTGCCCATGGTCATTGTTGGGTGGCATTTCTCTCCTGAAGTTATCTCACACTTGCTCAGACATGACAGGGGAAAGGAAGAAGGAAGAAGTTTTGTCCATGGGAACAATGTTCATACCCCAGAGGCAAAACCCAATATGGCAACTGGCACCATAATTGTCCTTCATTAGGTCATAGGACTATTCCCAAGTGGGTAGTCTGTCAGGAGCGTGTTGTACAGGGTGCTTTATTAGCTCCTCATGTGGGCATAGAAGGAAATTTACTTTCCTTATTCAAATTTTCTACTGCATCAACTCCATGTAACAATAGGTAGTCATCTAATGCAGCCAATTCATCACAATGAGTGAGAGGCTCCCATGTGAGATCCCCCAGGCCCCATTTGACACAGAACCACAGGCTACTGCCAGTGTCCCAGGAATGATCCAGGATTTCCTGGACCTGATATTCCTGTTTGGGATCTTCACCAAAGTCGTAGAAGACTTGGGCAGCCTGACCCAGGAATAACAGTGAGTTGTTTGGCTCGTGTGGGGCCAAGCAAGAAATGTGAAACTTGGGGTGAATACCCCTATTGAGAAGCTCTGGAGGGAGCTTGAGTGTATAATTAGATGAATCCTCGAATGCTTCAAGGATCTCATATGGCCCAATGTATTTGGGGAGGAGTTTCTTTGCTCTTCCCTTAGGCAGGTTGAGGTCCTTTGTTGCCAAGTAGGCAAAGTCACCTACCTTCAGCTTAGACGGATCTGAGCGCCTATGCCAATTGGCTTGGACCAATTGCTCAATGCGACTTTTTATTATCGCATCATGGGTGCCCTGGAGGTTATCTAATGCTTTCTGTGCAAAGGCACCCACTCCAGGGAGGTTAGTTGGTGGAACTTCCACCATCATATGGGGTACTGTCCCATAGATAAGTTCAAAAGGGGCATACCCTGTCGATTTATTCACACTCGAGTTTATCACGAACTTGGCAAGAGGGACTTTTAGTACCCAGTCATGCTGGTCTGGCCAAACAGCTGCACAAATTACTTGGATGATGCTCTGAACCATTTGTTCAGTTTGTCCATCGCCTTCTGGATGGAAAGCGGTCGTCATTTTTAGATGAATGCCGAGTAATCTGTGTAATTCCATCCAAAATTTGGACATAAACCTAGTGTCTCTGTCAGACACTATGGATTTTGGGAGTCTGTGAAGGCGCACAATGCCTTTCAAGAACTCATATGCGAGTTCTAGCACATTGATTGTGGTTTTCACAGGTATCAAGTGAACCTGTGAAGTCAAATGGCACATAACTACCCAGAGGTAGTTATGATTTAGACTTGCTGGGAAAGGACCAATGAAGTCCATCGATATAGAGGACCATGGGGCCTCTGGAATTGGCAGCTGGTGCAACAGCCCAGCTCTTCATCGAGTAGACCACTTGGTGGTCTGGCAGGTTTCGCAGGAGGAGATATACTTCTCCACATCGTGTACCATTGTAGACCACCAATAGTAGCAGTGTAAATATTCTAAGGTTTTATGGAATCCTAGGTGACCTAGGATCTCATGTGCATTTTGGATGGTGATCCCAGTCGCCTTCTCCCCTTTATGAATGATGTCTGGGAGAACCAAGCATGGTTCTTCCAAGTCATTCAACTTTGAAATAAGGCTGTTCTTGACCTTGAATCTTGGGAATTGTCTGGGATTCTCTAGAATCCCTTGCTGAGCTGCATGCTTGGCATACCCCTCTTTCACAGAGGAGAGGAAGTCGTCTTCCTCAACAACACTCCTGAGGAAATCCTCAGGCAGTATGATGTCAGCAAGTGTCAGCTCGCTCCTCCCTGAACGATTGTTGGGGGGTCTAGGATCATGGCTTCCAAGTCACATACTTCAATCACACTACTCGCTGAAGCAAGTTGTAATGACAGTCAGTGCAGAAGAAGCATTTCTTCCACCTCTTCAATACAACTTAGAGGGAGGTCTTCTCCTAATTTGTCTATGCAGACATCCGCAGAGACAAAGTCATCATAATGAAGGTCTTCATCTGACAAAGACTCGTAATAGCGGCTGAGTGCATCAGCCACTTTGTTTTTGTGGCCCTCGACATACAAGATGTCGCACTTGAAGCCATAAAAGAAGTTTTGCCACCTTATGTGGCGTCCAGAAGTGTGTTGCTTCTGTTTTAAATAGGTGAGGGCTTTATGGTCTGTAACGACCATAAATTCCAGTCAATTCATCCATCCACTTGGACAGGGCTTCCAGTTCATATGCGAAGTATGAACATTGTGTCGAAGTAAACTTCTTTGACATGAAGGCAGCTGGGCAGGATAGTTCCCAGCTGGCGCCTTGAGCCAAAATAGCCCCAATTCCTGCAGGGCAAGTGTCGGTAATAACCCAGACTCGAAATCTGTTCCTCTCTTGTTCAGAGAGGCCATCTGGTACTTGCCAGATGATTGGTTTCAGAATCGGTGTCTTGCACACAAGATTCTTTATGCTATTGAAACACTTCTGGTGCAGTGGGGACCAGAAGAAGGGCAGATTGTTAGTGCAAATGGTCTGCAAAGGACCAGTGTATGTGCTAACATTAGGCATGAATTGAGCAAGGTACTCTATTAGGCCTAGGAAGCATAGCACTTCCCAATGGTCTGAAGGTTTGCGCCAAGCACAAAGCTTCACCATTTTATCAGAGTCCGCATGGACCCCATGGCCATCAACCTTGCACCCCATAATGTCGAGAACCAGGGCAAGCAGTTCAAATTTCTTATAGCTAATGTATAGCCATTCAGACTTCAGTCAGTTGTGCACCCACTGAAGTTTCTCATTGTATTTGGAAACCATATCGGTTCCCGTAAATATGTCGTCAAACCATGCATGAACAGCCCACCTGATATTATCTCAGAGGACCCACAACACAGTCCACTGGAATGTGAAGGGACCATTACAGTCCCCCTGTTGGAGTACGTTTGAAACGTACATGCCCCAAGGAGTTGCAAATGCAGTGTGTGGAATGCACTGTTCCATGCAAATTTGCTCATAAGCATCTGTCATATCGATCAAAGATCAATATGAATTCCTGGCCAAGCTATCCATAATGGATCGCATGTCAGGCATTGGTGTGATGTCAAGAATCATATTCACATTACGATTCCTCGTGTCAATAACAGTTCTTATTAAACCGTCCTTCTTTGCGAGACATAGTAACAGGCACACCATAATGGCTGGTCAGTGAACCCACCAGCCTGCATGCTCATATTGAAGAGTTTTCTCTCATAGCTGTTGCTCGAGAGATTGGGGGCACATTGCACGCCTCTCATGATACCTTTTATTGGGATCGATAAAGTCGATCCTGTGATTAACCTCCCGGAAGGGAGGTAAGATCTCAGGCACAGGCACCATGACATCCTCAAATTGCGACCTCCACCAGTTGCGGAGGGCACTAAAACCATTGTCTGTCATTGGGCAATCTTTGAGATGAGAACAGTCTGGTAACTTCCCAGACTGGGGATCAGGCCAGTGAGCCGGGTAATTTAATGTGTCTGTTGTGGACACATTGGACGTGGCCTTCATAGCAGATATGCTATGAAGACCCTGCTCCTCCCTAGAGGAGTGATTGGACGGCAAAGTCTCCTTTGCCTTATTGAGTCCCACCTTGGGTGT